TCTGCATGTTTTGGGCAAAGTCTCTTGAGGGGTTTGTTGCCTTTTTGAATAAACCTTTTCCATTTTGATTCATCACAAACCAAGGATTATCATGAGTTTCCTCAGGGATGCTATGACGATACCCCTAAATCATTTCCACTAGCCATCCATTGGCAATCCTGTTGCGACTGGATTCCAAATGGAACAATTACTTTGGGAATCTCAAGTCAGGCATATGGACAACCTGTCCAGTCCAGCCAGTTTTGAGTGATTAGCATCTCGATGCTAGGCATTTTGGCTTAGGAGACAGTGTGCTTTTGAACCACCTTTCTTGCCACCAGATTTGTGGGATCTTAGGAAGGCATGTCTACTGTAATGATGTTCTCAATCCTTCCAATATTCTCCCTACTCTCCCTATTTGAACCTCTGCTCTTTCGACGAAAGGCTTTGTGCTCTCTTTTGGAGTCTTTCCACTGACACCCTTATTGTGTCTGCTCCTTCCATTGTTTGACATGTTATATCTGGGTCTCTACTTTTTCCATTGATGCCTTCACTTACTTTATCGTTGCTCAATTTCCCCCTAATGTGCTTTCTTCTTTCTTCTCTATCTTGATATCTTTATTCTTTCTCCTGATGCATTGCTATACTGTTAGCTATGCTCTTTGTACTGGTGTAATAGCTCACTTTTTCTATTTGTCTCCTTGTTCATTCTGCTGATTTCCTTGATTGTTTTAACTGCTGTACAACTTATTCAAATAATAATGTTACACTTTCTATCACAGGTTAATTTGCTTACTCTCAAAAGCAATTAATGTGCAGAATCCAAAATAAATTGTGCCAGCTTTTATGTAAATATATGGAAGATTTATCAGATGCATTTGTTTCTCATCATAAACGATCTCCGCAACATAATCAGTAACGGTCATAGAGAATAGATTCTTGTGGAATTGGATTGGTTTACTTAATAAGAAAATTATCATTTGCCAATCCGTAATTCTAAGACGTGGCTGAATAATAATTGTCATCATAAAATCTATGCAGTGAACAACTTTACTGTCCATTCTAATTGTTTTGAGAAACAGTGAAAATCAGGCTGAATATGAGGTATTTAGTTCTACTGTGTAGGGCCTCCATGTAACAACACTGGCACAGCACTGAAAAAAAAATGCATTTTCAGACATATGGTTAACAGTATTCACATAGCGGAAGACTTCAGAGCAATGAAATGAAGGCGAAGATCACAAATTAATTGTAAACTGTAACAGTATATATGGCTATCACAGATACTGATTAGCGGAATGTGAATAGCCAAGGACAGCATCATATTATTACTCTATAACCTGCTATGACAAATAGATTCAGTAATTTACCTTAATGAATGTCTGCTCAGACTTACTTTGAAATCATTAGTGGATTATTTCTTTCCCACTGTCTACACATGCCTTGTCAAACTCAAACTGTGTTTCTCTGTCCCAATTTAAGCATCAGTCCTACAAGTTCATTTCTAGAACCCACAAGATACACAGGACTGGTAATATTTCAATTGAAGGCATGGTGTTAAGTGTGCAGGATTGCTCTGCATTGAGGATTTAAGAATCTGCTCACATACAGTTTTTTGATCCAGAAAGTTGAGTTGAAACGACTTGAAAGAATATGGTATTTTTAATTGGCTCAATACAGTAAAATAAAAAGTAATCCACTGAGACCCTCACCTTTTTATTTTATAATGAGATTCTGATAATGAGAGATGACTTTCTTAGTCACTCTGGGCTCTATTATGGATAATTTGATTCCACTTCACTGTCCGTGTTAATTATTAACACTAGCCTTTTTATTGTCCCGAGACCACGTTATGTTATTTGACCATTCAATTCTTTTTAAAGAGCTACACTTCAATAGAGAAGCATGTTGATTTTAAAATGCTTCATTAAAATGTCGAGTAGATTCTTAAATCCAGTTCTGAGAAAGGGTCACTGGACCTGAAACGGTAACTGTGATTTTTCTTCTAGATGCCACCAGACTTGGTAAGCTTTTCCAGCAACTACTGATTTACAGCATCCGCAGTTCTTTCAGTTTTCATTAAGATGTTGTTGTGTTCATTCATTTCAAGCCTACCTGGATGCTCACAGCATCTTTGTCTTGCCTTTGTGAGTGATGCCCCCTTAGTCAGAGCTACCGGGTTTACAATACTTCTGTCTTGCCTTGCTGTTTAGTGCAAGCAAAGGCAGGAAACTCATGGTTGACAGCTTCCCTCAATCAAGTGGGATAGCCGTCACTCGGGAGGTCCAGTACAGTAAGTCAAAGGTAGCCTCCGACACCAGTCTGGGGGCTTAGAAACAGGCAGGCAATCAGAAACTTGGGGCAATCAGAATGAGGATTCAGTCCACATAAAGGGGCGAAGAGCCAAATATCAGGTAGACCACCAGCCATCTTGAATCTATCTGCCCTACTGGGGGCAACTTTCCTCCTAGATTGAAAGAGGGAGAAGTAATAAGGGAACTGGAAGTGGGCAGGACAACTGTTATGTCTGGCACAGGTGGGGAGCTGGTGTGGCATTTTAAATGTATCATGGGCACAAGCAATGCCAATCTTTCAGTAGATATTTGTCAAGAGGCGAGTTGTTCTGGTAACGTGCGTGGTAAGATGGGGCCGGAATCAGACCTGACATAGGAGAAAGGTAGGTAATTAATGAGGTCACTTTGGCAAAATATGGCAAGGAAATGTGCGAGTTCCTGTGATGGAGCTTGCTCAAAAATACTCAATATACCTCGAACTTCACCATGGGTAACTTAGATAGGACTAGTTGCTGATTCTGGCATTTTTTGACAAGCATGAAAATGTGTGAAGAGGTTTCATGGTTATATCATTGCTGTACCAGGAGTTCTACTGTGAGTGAAGCTAGCTTACAATTAATATGTGCAGGTCATCATTTTCAAAATGTCAATCACAATTTTGATACATAGCTCATATCATTAAACATTGGGAATTCACAAACCATTATCTTCAATCCTATCCACAGACTCAGTTGCTTTGTCAATGATTTCTTCCTATTGTCTCAAGTTGAAGCTAACTTTTTGCAACCTTTTCCAAATCCCACATCTGCTCCATCACAAAGACACTCAATTTCATGCTCCACACCAAGGTCACAGATACTGGTGCTTCAAAGCACTTTTGTTGCAATGTTCCACTTACTAAATTATTGAGGCATTGGACTAAAATGTAACAGGTGAAACAAGACCTATTTAGCTTTTAGCACAGGGGTTAATTCATTGTGCAGGTTAGAATCTGATTGTGAACTAGATTTCCCCTTTAAGTAGTGAAGTGTCTTCCCCAGTATCAACGTGTAAAGTCATTTTAGGACATAGAACATAGAACAGTACAGCACAGTACAGGCCCTTCGGCCCATGATGTTGTGCTGACCTATTATCCTAATTTTCAAACAGAAGATACACTTCAGTAGCTATTTTGAATTTGTGCCAACGGCAAAAGTTTCCAACCACTGGAAGAGTACCAATGTTCCCTTCTAAAAGTCCTCATGTCGGTCTTATATGAGTCAAACTCTTTAAATGTGCTTGTGCAAAAATAAAATGGGAACTGCATACTTTAAGAATTTGCTCATGTATTCCCAATCAGAGGGAATGTTGGCGTGCATATACAGAATTAAATCAGTGGGCTTCACAACCTACTGCCTCTTGATTTTAATGCGCAGAAAATCTCATTAGCCAGCTACTTATCACACCTTGAATTTTTGCTGCGTCATCCCACAAGACACATAAAGTGTTCCTTGGGATCCTGTGTGCAAAATCTCTCTTCATGTGCAAAGTATTACTGTTTGAAGTAACACACAAACAAGAATTTTCCAACGAAAACGACATGCTATGGATGCAGGGAATCCGATTTAGAAACAAAGTGCTGGAGAAACTGAGCAGGTCTGGAAGCATCTGAAGAGAGAGAAACATAGTTAACGCTTCTCGTCAGACTCTTCTTCACTGGGGCAAAGTGGTGTCTTGAAATAGCAAGCAACTGGAAGCTTGGGTCATTCTTAAGGACCAAGCATGAAGCGGTCACCCAGTCTGTGTTGGATCTCACCAAAGTAAAGGAAAATGTATTGTGAACAGTGAATGCAGCAGTCAGGATTGAAAATAATACAAGTGCTTCACATGGAAGGTGTATTATGTGCCTTGGACAATGTGGAGGGAGGAGGTGAATTGGACATGTTAATTTTCCAAATCAGGTAAATGTAAGGTTGTGGATGTACAAACGGATCTGAGTATTCTTGTATACCAGGCAATGAAAGTAAACAGACAGGCAGGTGCAGCAAGCAAATAGTGCATTGGCCTTCATTGCAAGAGGATTTGAGTCCAGAAGTAGGGTTATCTTACTGCAGTTATATGTGTCTTGGCGAGATCACATTTGGAATACTGTGTGCAGTTTTAGTCTTGCTATTAAAGAAAGGATATCCTTGCCATTGAGGGAGAGCTAGGCTAACACTGATACGTAGGCAGAGAGCCAGGGGATGGCAGGACCATCCTATGAGGAGAGATATTTCAACTGGGCCTCCATTCACCAGAGTTTAGAAGGACAAGAGGGGATCTGATTGAAATGTAACAGGGCTGGACAAACTAGGGGCAGGGAGGATGTTTTGCTGAGTTAAGGAGTCCAGAACCAGGAGACACAATCTCAGGATACAGGATAGAGCACTTAGGACTGAGATGAGGACAATTTTTTTTCACCTAAAGAGTGGTGAGCCTGTGGAATTCTCTGCCGCACAAAGCATCTGGGGCAAAATAAATTAATATTTTCAAGCAAAAGTTATATGTTGTTCTTAGGGATAAAGGGATCAAGGGTAGGGGGAGAAAACAGGAACAGGGAACTGCATTGGATGATCAGCCATGATCATACTGAACGGTGCAGAAGGCCTACTCCTGCTTCTATGCAAAATGTGGCACTACTACTAGAAAAGATGCTGCAACAAATCTGAATAGAGCACAGCAATACAACTGAAACCAACAGATACTTACGCTCATTCCTCAAATAATTATTGAGAAGTTGAAAAAGTGGAAAGGTGTCCCAAGAATCTGGGGGCTGAGCTTCAAGAGTTGCATCCATGTCAACAGCAAAGAGTGACCAAAATATCTCTGCATGCTCTGCCATTAGGTCAGGCCACCAGGCAAAGGCCTATGGAAGAATGAGCAAATGTCAATTTAAGACTACACAACGACAGCGAGGCCACATAATTGTTAGATACAGTTAACACTTCCTATGAGGTTTCTGCAAATACCTGCACCAAAAGAAATGAGGGGATGTTAAATATTCCTCCATTTAAAAAAAATCATAAGTATATCTGTATGAACATATTCTTCCCAATTTGTAAAACCAAATACAGAATTATGGTTTTCAGCTGTGTGAATCCAGCAACAGATATGATTATCCCACCCTCGTTGCTTTTGGCGCATTTTCATGACTGGAAATTGTCTGGTCTTCATTGAGGTTATTGAATAAACCAGAACTATTTTATCAATTCATAAGTATAATTGTGAGTTATCTATGGGGAGAGCATTTAGGCAAAATGTTAATGTTCAATTAAGTGAATTAAAATTTAGTTTTATACAGTATGAGTAACCAAGTTGTGCATGGATGCTGGCTTTTACAATGGATTGGCTGGAAAAAGAAGTGGAAAAGGCAATAACTCTCATTCTGTTTTCTTCAGTTTAGCACCTTATTAGGCAGATGACTTGAACACTGTAAAATTTTAGCGTGCCAGTTCCATCCCTTCCAGTTCTTTCTCTCCTTCTTATTGTCATAATACCAAAAAGTAGGTCTATGTTAGTAAACAAGACTTCAATTTTTGCCACGTGCTGTACTGATTTTCCTATCCAGGAAGTGGGAAGGGAGCAGGTAATAGTGAAGGAGAGTGACAACAAGTTACTGATAGCTGTCCATTTTAATGTAGTCAAATGTCTCCAGTAGAAAGTGGAATGGAGACTGATATTTTAAGGTTTTGACTACCTGTGTAAAACTCTTATCCTCCACGTTGCTAAGCTAGATTTAAAGCATAACTGTGAAAGCCACTGGCCTTTTAAAGGCATTACTGGAGAGGACTGTAAATTGTACTTTTCTAACCCACGCATTTTGTTACAATTAGTGTGATTAATCATGTTTAATGATTTAACTGATTTCAGAGTTATTGAAAGTGTCTCTGTTTATTCACAGTAGAGGCTCTTTAAACACAGCATCTCAGAGACAAAGAATCTATTTTGGTCAGTTTCATTCAAGATACAAATGGAGCCACAAACTGGCAAAAAATGAACAAATGGTGAAACTCAGATTCTGATCAGGAAGGTCAGGGCAAATTGGAAGAAATGTGAAATTTTCTACCATAGTGGATTTTCATGCAAAATTAAGGGAAGGCTCTAAAAGCTTTGGAGTTGATCTTTTTTAATATGATGAAATATCGAAAGCAACCAATAAGCTTGATGTACATAACAAGTAGTGCAAATGAATAAGACAAGAGGCCAGTGAACTGACAATTGATCATTTCCTCTTTCTTCACCATTTAGTGTCGCCTATGAATCCTAGCTTTAATAATGAAACTCCGATACTCTGTGAAGAAAATGGGGAAGGAGAGAAAGAAGCAGGAATAGTAATGGGGGTTGGTGGGGGGGAGCGGGTGGAGAATGCAGATGCTTTCAAGCTTATTGTCAATAAGAACTGTCAATAAAACCCTTATTCATTGTTTTTTGGAGAAAAGATCTTGCCCATGTATACCTTTTGGAGTCAGATTTCATTTACAAATAAACATAAGAAAAATTCAAATTAACCTTTAGTTATTTTTCACATGTGAAGTACATGCCAATTTCAACCAAAAATGAAAGAGCAATTAATGTCTCAGTTAAAGATTTTCAATGAAATACGCTTTATTGTGGGTAAAACACATCTAAGATTTGAACTGTGGAATCATCATTTCTAAATTGTAAACTCAGTGGAAAAGGAAGGTATGAAGATTATTTCCCTGCTCTGATATTGACTTTTTAAAATGATTAGAAATAACACACAGCTCATTTATGGTAGCAAATGTTAAGAAATGCCCAATGATCGAATCCCCCTGGTCACATACCTCTCTGCCCTTTAGGTATCCGCATGTATGAAAGTGTTTGTTGAATAAAAAAGAAAAGAATCCAAACATTTAAATACAAGTTAATGACTTAATTTGAAAATAACATCATTTATGCTGGAAATACAGATGACATTTTATTGACCAGTGTTGCGACTGCATCTTCCTCACTCTCCACCCCAAGTCCAGACATTGATCCATCTGTTCAGGACTTTGACTGGAGGCTTTACAACTAGAAACCTTGTGTGGAGTAGCACTTCACAGTACAGTCATAATGCAATTAACCCTATACTTATTTCCTGCAAAATGCACTGTTAAATCAGTTATATTCTACAGTCAGTATATGGAAAGAAGGTGTTAATAACCAAGAAATGTAATATTCTCCATTAATACTGCTGATATCTGCTAATTATTTTTACAGTTACAATTAAATAAACAATTTTTGCTTCTTGACATTGTTACAATTTAAACATTTTCTAATAGTAATTATTGTATAATAGAAAACTGAAATATAGGCAATTTCATTAATCTAGGTTTAAGAGTCAAGGCTCTTTATACAGAATTGATATTGATAATTGTGAAGAGGAGATAACAGAAGCTATTCCTAACTGAATTCAGATTACCTGATGAATCATAAGTCAACTTATTTCTAAAATGAACAGCAAACAACAAGTTAAAAACATAGACTGTATCACACAGTAACATGTCCTGATATTAGTCTTGTTAATGAGTGAACAACTGATTATAATAATGTTCTGCTGTCTGCAGATTTTATATATTCCAAAAATAATTAACCTTGCTTGTTTCTAATCTAATTTGCATTTACTTTTTGTGTCTTCAAATTGCAGTAGTTCATTTTTGGCATTTAAATTCATAGAAAAATGAAACATAAATATGAATCAGATTAGCAACAAACTGGGCTTATTATTTCTAGAATATCAACATTGTCTCCTTTTAAATGTATGGTAGCAAATGTCAAACTTATAGTTCCTACATAAAGCACATTAACTGCATAGGATATTTCAGATGTTCGTTAGTAATTGCTTTGATTTATAATGATATTTAGACACAAGGTGAGGTAGAAGAAAGCCTGCTCACAACTTCTGCAGGATCATGCAGTGGAGGGCACACACTCTCCCTTTAACATGTCTGATGTCAGGGTAAAATGGTCTATGTTTTGAATGTTTGTCAAAACATCGAAACATAGGAGCAAGAGCATCTTATTCAGCCCCTCAGACCTGTTCCCCATTCTGAGATCATAAACTGTTCATCCAGCTCAATGTTATTTTCTTGGCCTGTCCCCATATCCTTTAATGTCATTAATATTGATAACTCCCTGTCTTGAATACAGTCAATGACTGAACTTCCATAGTCCACCAGGATAGAGAATTCCGAAGATTCAACATCCTCTGAATGAATCTCATTTCAATCCCTATATTTTGTGACTATCTCCCTGGTTCTAGATGCTCAGCAAGGGGAAAGTTCCTTCCTGCATCTACCCTGTGGTGCCTTTTCAGAATTTAGTACATTTCACTGAGATTAATTTCATTAATCTAGGTTTAAGAGTCAAGGCTCTTTATATAGAATTCATACTGATAATTGTGAAGAAGAGACAGCAGAAGATATTCCCTGAGATTACTTATCTCTAAAATGAATAGCAAACAATAATTTAACAAAATAGACTGTTTCACACAGTAACATGTCCTGATATTAGTCTTGTTAAAGAATGAACAACTGATTATAATAATGTTCTGCTGTCTGCAGATTTCATATCATCCAAAAATGAGATACTCTGGAGAATACAAGCCCTTTGGCCCACTGCACCAGTCTGTTCAATGGTAATTAAAGTATCAGGCATCAGAGAATCAGGGCATCAAGCAGATATATTACCCACATCCCAAATGTTCTACTCTTGTTTTCTAAACTCCTGCTTTAGATTTTATCAAAACCCTTCTGAAAATCCAAATACACCAGATCCACCATATAAATTCTGCTAGTAACATTTTTAAAAACACTCTAACATGTTTGTCAAACGTGATCTCTCTTTCATAAATCCATGTTGGCTCAGCCCAATTATATCACTGTTTTCTGCTTGAAGTGTTATCACATCTTTTATTATTCTAATATCTTCCTCATCATTGATGTCAGACTAAAAGGTCTGTATTCCCCTCTTTGCTCTCCACTTCCTTTTTCAAATGGCGAGAATATGCTTGCAATTTCCTAATCTGCAGGTACCAGACTAGAGTCCACAGAATTTAAAAAGTTGATTAAATCCATTATCTCTACAGCCAATACTCTGTGAGGTAGATCACTGGCTCCCAGGGATTTGTCAACTTCCATTAATCTATCAAGTGTTACCTTTTCATTATACTAATTTCTTTCAGTTCCTTGTTCTCATTATCTGATCCCTTGATTCCGTATATTTCTGGGAGATTTCTGATACCTTCCTGTCCCCACCATGCCCATTTACAAATTTATTCTTTCACATCTCTATCATTTCTCTATTTCCCATAATAAATGTTCCTGTTTCTGCATGTAAAGGACTCATATTTGTCGTTGGCTAATCTTTTCTGTTTTGTACACACATTGAAACTTTTACAATCTACTTTTATATTCTTTGCCAGTTTACATTCAAATTCTCTTCTCCCTTTTTTAGTTTCTTGATTCTTCTTAGCCGAATTCTACAATCTTCCCAATCCTCAGGTATATTACTTTTTTAGTAACTTTATAAGCCACCAGCTTTGATCGAACACTATCTTTAAATTCCTTTGTTAGCCATGGATGACTCACACTTCTTTTATTGTGCCTTTGCAGAATATACGTTTGTTGTTTACATTTTAGCAAAAAATTGATTAATGATTCATTAATTCTTCTGAATTCAATTATGAATATCTACTGTTAACTCTTAACAACAATTCTTTGCAGAAAGTGTGACTGATTACATTTCGCAAAGATTCACAAATAGGTCTACATTGACAAAATTGCTGTCATTGTTTTATAGTGGTAGTTGTATTACATAGTAACCAGCAATGAGATGAATCTGTTTTAAGAATACAATGTTTCCAGGACACCAGAATAATTATTTTAAGTGGAATATTCAATTTATATCTGAAATTACTGAAACAGCAAAGTGGCCCATTTGACTAACTAAAACTTTCTTTTGTTGCACTGATAGAACATAGACTGTGTGTGTAAGTCTTTGCATCACTTTGCTTCGGAATGACATTGAAATCATCTCGTCCTTCAGATACTGTCTTTTCAAACCCATCATCAAAAGGTTTTTCATAAACCACACAAACATAGCTCTTCAGTCTTTGTAATATTTCTTCCATCTCCTTGAGAAACCACATGACCATAGCCCCTCAGTTGTGAAACAAGAGTTCTATTTCCAAAATCCTTCACCATACGGTTACCTCCCAAATAAATGCTCATTTTGCCCACATCTCTATGTTTGAATCTATCCAGTGAGATTTCCACTCTTGCTACTGCCTTCAGGCAAATGGGCACCGCGCTCAGAAACTCAACTGGACTTTCCCCAATTTAAATTCCTGCTTAAAACCCCCCTCTTACCAAGCATTTTTTGTCACCCTTTCTTATACCTGTTTTGGCTGAAATCCAAATTTTGCTTGTTCCGTGAAGTGATCTAGGATATTACTTCTACAGTAAAGAAAAATCAGCAAGTTTCTGTCATTGTGTGACTGGAATCTGTAACCCTCTGATTTAGGATTAAGAATGTTGACAGCTAAGCAAGTTTTCTTAAAATGCATCTACTTGTGATATCAGTCAGATTAGTTGTTTTATAATTGAATCCTATCACAGCATGCTCCAAAAATGAACTAAAAAATTAAATCTCCAATACAGTCAAGGCATCCAGATTTCCATCTCTTTAAGCATAAAGGATAAATGCATTCCCAAAGTCAACAAGCTCAAACTTGATCCTAAATGGATTTTTAAAACAGTGATAAAAACAGGAAAATGATCACATGTAAGTCCAGTAGGTTGAAAGGGGTAGGGACTCTCTGAGACAAATACAATGTTTAAAAAAAGAGACCACACAGGCAGAGACCTGGGAAACAAGCATAGTGGCTGAAGTTAAGCAGAAGAATTGAAAATAAAAACTATTTTAGTTCCAGTCAGTCAAAAGGCAAACAGAGAAAAGATATACAAGAGCCACTGGAAACCAAGGAAGATCACAAAATGAATAATATTCTGAATGATTACTTCATCTAAATGTTCAGAAGGAAAGCCAGAAGGAGCAGATCCCTCTCCCAACAGAAATAAGCACCAAAAAATTAAAATACCGATTATAACTACATAAGATGGAATTCCTGCGTAATCTAAAAGGCTTGAAATAAATAAATCAGTACTTAAGGTTTTGGAGTAGATCTGTAGCTCGGGTTGTGGGTGTTGGGATTGGTTGGCTCGCCGAGCTGGTTTGTTGTTCCGCAGACGTTTCGTTACCGTGCTGGGTAACATCCTCAGTGCAGCCTCTGATGAAGCGTCGGTGTGTTTGCCCGCCTGGTTTTTAAACTCTGGGGTCCGTTGCGATGGATTGCCTCACTTCCGGGTTTCCTCCGTAGTGGAATGTATATGGGGTCGATTCAATGTGTTTATTAATAGCCTGCTTCGTGGAGTGCCATGCTTCCAGGAATTCTCGTGCTTGTCTCTGCCTAGCCTGTCCCAGGATCTTGGTGTTCTTCCAGTCGAAGTCGTGGTTCTCCTTGTCCATGTGGATTGAGATGAGTGAGTATTGGTCGTGTCTTTTTGTAGCCAGTTGGTGTTCATGTACTCTTGTTGTTAGTTTCCTTCCTGTTTGTCCGATGTAGTGTTTCTCGCAGTCTCTGCAGGGGATCTTGTAGATGACATTGGTCCTGTCCATGGCGGGGAGTGGGTCTTTAGGTCAGGTGAGCACTTGTCGTAGGGTTGATGTGGGTTTGTGTGCCACTCTGATGCCCAGCGGTTGTAGAATTCTTGTGGTGAGTTCTGACGTGTTCCTGATGTAGGGTATTGTGATGAGTGTGTCG